AAGAGGAGGGGAAGGCAGCCCTTGGGGTCGTGAGTGCTCCCAGCGGGTCGGTGAGACCCCCCGTTTTCTCACACCCGGAAACGCAGCCCCCCTTTTCGGGAAAAACTTGATCCGACTCTCGGAGTCGGTCAAAGGGTTTGCGAAACGCTTCGCCTTCCTGGTGATGTCCACCGCCCTCGATTGCCACTGGCAACAGTGAGCCGAACATCCTTGGTCGGCAAGGTCAGAATAGACCAGACTGGGGGTGACTGGGACCAGTGTTTCTCAGCTTTTGCAACGTTTAAGATGTAGGGACTTCCACTCGCAGAATTCCCCAGCCAGCACGCTTTGAGATGTGTGGATTTCTGGGAGGGGATTTCAGCTCCCAGAACTCCCCAGCCAGCATGGGAGTTCTGGGAGCTGAAGTCCACACATCTTAAAGTGTGATGGCTGGGGAATTCTGGGAGTTGAAGTCCCACATCATAAAGTTGCCAACGCTGAGAATCATTCATTTAGGCAACACAGAGACGATCTACAGATATGTGTGCTAATTAATGGTTTGTGGTTACAACACCTTTTCCAGATCACCCCGTTGACTCAGTCAGAATATTTTCCACTGAGCTAAATGAGGTTTACCTCCCAGTCTGAGTCTATGCATCTTCCCAAAGTAAATCACACATCACCGGAGGGTGTTTGCTAGCAAATAATTATGCAAAGCTTGCAGTTGATCATTTCCTGAGAGGTATTTTTGCAGGACTTCCAGCTTTCTCTTTCTAAAGTTCAGCAAGTGAAACATTTTTCTCATCGTATCAGAATTAAAAGTCAAATTATATACGCCCCAAAGTTGTTGGTATCATGCATGTTATCAGGGATAGAAATAAATTATGCTTGGTAATAAATTCTCTTTCAGTATAATCAAAACAACCTCCCACTGCCCAGAGTCTTGAGCCAGTATTTCTTGAATCCGATCATCCAGGCGTATTTGCTCAGAAGTAAATTCCAGGACATATCTAACGGGATTTTACTCTGAAATAAATTTGCATAGGATTATATACTGTACTTAACAGTCCTTATTCGAGGGAGAACGGCAATACCTCCTCCCTGCCGCTAGAGGAGCACCACCCCTACCATGGAGACCGGGAAAGGGCGGCATTGATTACGGCGACTCTATCCCGGAAACAATCCGTCCAGAGAGGCAATGATGAAGTGTTGCCTTGGCAGCTTCCCTGCCCGCTTCCGCATCTAATATCAAAGGTTTCCATTGGGTGGTCGCTCTTCCTTGGAGCCTGTCGGAACAATGGCGGACCGCCTAACGCAGCTGCAGGACGCCGTGAATTCGGTGAGTGGGAGTGCCGCGGGCTTGGGGCTGGGGCCTAAGGCGAGACCAGGTCCTGCTGCACGATGGCCCTTTGGACGTTGGATATTTCACCGGGGAGAAGCACGAGAGGAGCTGCCGAGGGAACGGCTGCGCTTAAGTCTTCCCCCACCTGCGTCCTCCGGAGGGGTAGATTGCAACTCCCAGAATCCTCTCCCTTGGCTTTGGTGGCTAGGGAATTCTGGGAGTTGCTCATGTACAGACCTAGTGGTCCCTATTTATGGAGATGTCATCTGTATGTAGGAGCAGAATAGGCCGGGAACAGCCCATTTATTTAACCTTGACATCTGCTTTTCTACTAGTCTCCTGCTTCTGAATGTGGAAATTATTACATTATTATTATTATATTTTTATCCTGCCATATGTTTATATTTATAATTATATGTGTATTGGTCAACGCAAGGCCGCGAACACACCTAATACTCCTGCCTCCTCTCTTCCCCACAACAACAACAACCCTGGGGGGGTGGGTTGGACTGAAAGAGAGGGACTGGCCCAAAATCAGCCTTTTTATTTATTTTATTTGCTCTATTTTTATATCTCTGCACTCCTCAAGGATGCGTGACAGCACATGGCTAAAATCAAAAGTACTAAATAAGCCATGATAGTAAATGGATAATTAATAGTGCGCTTTTGGAATATTTGTAACATTCAGGATTTGATGGGATCACTGTCAATGTCAGCTGGTGTTTTAGGTGGCTTTTGTTGGAGAAGGGGAGCACTGAGAAAAATTCAGTGTTTCCTTTTCTGCATTTCTATTTTGTGACTTTAGAAGAACATGATGGGGAGGGTATTTAAAGCCACTTGCTTTAAATAAGTAATTCTTCAGTTGTAGTCTCTCATAAGCTGTGTTTGCAATGACATGCTTATCCATCCACCATCACTTATTCAATCCAATGTTTTGCTTCACGTGTCACTCTGAACTGTAAACTGTCCAAATATGCTGTCATCACACACGTGCACTAAGGTTGGTGAGTTTATGTATCAGTGTAATGTAGTAACAGTAGTGGTAAGGTTAGATAAAGAAATAAGCCTCCTTTTCCTCATGAAACACAATTCTCATAGTGAACTTTTGTATTTCTTAACATAAGAACTACAGTCAGGTCCAGAAATATTGGGACATCGACACAATTCTAACATCTTTGGCT